CGGCCGCGAGCGCGGCGCGGGCTCGGCCCCGAGCCGGGAGCAGCGGGAGCGGCGCGGCCGGTGGGCGGCGCTCGGGGGCGCGCCCGCGCGTCACCGCGGAGGGGCGGTGGGAGCGGGAGAAGCTGCGGGAGCTGGAAGTAGATGGACTAGCTGGAAGTAGATGAACTTCAAGGTCACTTCCCACCAAACCATTCTATGATTCTATGAAATCTTTTAAGTATTTCTGAATCCTCTACAAGAATTCTCTCCAGCGTGGAAGGAGCTTCCCTTTTACAGTTTCACAACGTGCTAATTCTTTCTTCGACAGTGCCTAAAACACTCCTGCAATAAACTTTTTACTCCTGAGAAACATGTAGCTACTGTTTTATAGCACTGAGCAGCAAATGGCACCATTTCGTTACACTCTCTTCCTGCTCTATCTGTACAGTGCCTGGTGCAGTGTGGACATGCTTAATTTCTAGGACCAGGTTCTACTGTAATGTAAGTAATCAGAATTAAACTACTAGTGGAAAAAAAAAGAAAAGGATCTTATGAAAGGTATGGCTATCCATTTTTTATCGCTGCTTTTCTGTTACCTAGGCTACTGCTGAATGTGTGTTTCTGCCTGTTTCAAATTGTATCATTAGTAGCTCCCACTGAGATACTGTAGTAGAGGAAGCCTACGTTCAATATCCAGACTAGTTAACTATGCATTGTGGAGAAGAAAAAATTAAGCATTGTTACTGTCTAACTGTGTGTGGTGTGTTGACCCTGGCTGGATCTCTGGTGCCCACCAAAGCTGCTCTATTACTCCCCTCCTCAGCTGGACAGGGGAGAGAAAATATATTGAAAAGCTCATAGGCCTAGACAAGGGCAGGGAGAGATCGCTCACCAATTACTGTCACAGGCAAAACAGGCTCAACTTGGAGAAATTATTTTAATTTATTATCAATCAAATCAGAGCAGGGTAATAAGAAATAAAAGCTAAACTTTAAAATGCCTTTCCCACACCCCTCCCCTCTTCACAGGCTTAGCTTCACTCCCAAATTCTCTTCCTTCTGCTCCCTGCCAACAGCACAGGGGGTTGGGGGATGGGGGCTGTGGTCAGTTCATCACACATTGTCCTGCTCCTCAGGGATAGGACTCCTCACACTCTTCCCGTGCTCCAGCATGGGATCCCTCCCACAGGAGACAGCCCTCCCTGAACTTCTTCAACACAAGTCCTTTCCACAGGCTAAGTTCTTTGCAAAGTGTTCCATTGTGGGACCCTTCCACAGGGTGCAGTCCTTCAGGCACAGACAGCTCCAATATGGGTCTTCCACAAGGTCACAAGTCCTGCCAGCAAACCTGCTCCAGCATGGGCTCCTTTCTACATGGCCCCACAACTCCTGCCAAGAGCCTGCTTCAGCATGGGTTTCCCACAGGGTCACAGCCTCCCTTGGGCTTCCACCTGCTTTAGTGTGGGGCTCTCCATGGGCTGCAAGTGGATCTCTGGTCCACCATAGACCTCCACAGGCTGCAGGGGGACAGCCTGGCTCACTGTGGTCTGCACCATGGGCTACAGGGGAATCTCAGCTCTGGTGCCAGGAGGACCTTCTTCCCCTCCTTTTTCACAGACCTTGATGTCCACACGGCTGCTTTTTTCACGTGTTCTCCCTCCTATGTCTTCTGTTTCACAGAAATAATTCCTTAATTATATTATTCCCAGAGGCGCTACCACCATCGCTGATGGGCTCAGCCTTGGCCAGCAGTGGGTCTGTCTTGGAGTTTTCTGGCATTGGCTCTGTCAGACACAGGGGAAGCTTCTGGCAGCTTCTCACAGAAGCCACACTTATGTCCCCTCCACCATCAACACCTCACCATACAAACCCAATACACTGTGTCATATTTTTCATTACATGTGAATGTTGCACTAGGTTTTGGAAATAAAAAACAAAAGGCAAAGGTCACAGAAATTCTGGCTAAAGAGACCTGGGCTTGAAAGTATGTACTATGGTGAAGCATAAGAATAAAAAACCTCCCATCTCCACTAGCATGTCAGTTGCCAAAAAACAAGTATTTTTTCAATTTACTGGAAGATACCCTTCTGCAGAAAAGGTGTTTGGATCATGTATCTGATTGAAACACTCTTCCTATGAAATTACACTGTGCCTATCTAACACAGAGTAGTAATCAGGCTTTGAAGTAATTTTGCTGTTTTCCTATCTGATGAACTAGACTGTAGATGGTGTGAATATATCAAACCAACAGGCTGTTTCCAGTCTGTTTGGATTTCTGGGATATCTGCAAGCGAAAAGAGCCTTTTGTAGGATGAACTTGTTTTGTTTAGAAAATTGTGTGACAGGAGTGAAGAATGACAAGTGCCACTCTCTGTAATCATGTGTGAGGCATTGGAGGTGGCAAGCAGGGAAGACTGAAGGTTTGCATCTAGTATGTTTGAAGTGGTGACTGATTTAAAATATATATTAAGTATCACTGGGTTCTCCTCTATTTGAGATGGTAAGGTTTATATCATCTGTATCAGTTACAAGTGGCAATAGAAATATGATATTATGGCCAGTTGAAATTGTATCTTGTTCTTGCAGAAATGGTCATCATACAAGGACATAGATTTCCCGTGTTCATTTTTCATGGGTCAGACTTCTAGTCAGGCCAAGTGGACAAAAGAAAGTGAAGGTACAAATTGTCCAATATTTGTGAAAGGATATCAGACTCTGTTAGCATATTTCCACATCAGCAAGGACAGTCTAACTAAGCCTCCTGAGAGTGTAAGTGAATGTGCTGGAACAGAGGAGGAAAGTCAGGGAGCAGATGCTCCTTGCAGTGTGTGTTTCCCATAGCAACCTGGCAGATTTCCCAGCAGGAATTTGCGTATGTGTTAGTCATGTTTTTGCATCACTTACTCTCTTCTATATTTTCAAGTATCCCCACAAAAGAGGAAATAGTAGAGACAAATGGGGAGCAGCGGAGCATAGATGATGGAGGTTGGTGGCACAACCCCTGACTAAGCTGTATGAACAGAGATGGCGAGAGGCCATGTCACCCTCCAAATGGCTGAACAGCGCTTACAGTTTGCACCTATGCCCAAAGGGGCACAAGTCCTCTTGAGAGAACTTGATCCAAAAAAACTTACTTAATACTATTGTACTCTAAGTAGAAGAGCATTTTAATTACATACTTACCAATTAATTCTCATACACATTGTAACATGTTTATCTACAGTCATGTATAGTAGCACATGATGATACACATTTGTCAAAAGTTGTGGTAGGTAAAAGGATGTGGCCATGTGAACATGGCAGTTCACACTCTGTGCATGCACAAGGCATCCCAAATTCTAGTCAGGTCTAGCTGTAACTTGTATAATTAACACACCTCATTACTGTCCCTGTTAATGATCTCTCTGTCTCTGTGCCCTGTCCTCACCCCCCCCCCGCACCTTTTATGGGATATATATTTCTTAATGGTTTTGGGTTCGCACTCTATTTCTTCATCAATTTTATCTATTTCTTCCCTATATCCTCCTCATCCTCTAATTTTTCCTTACTTTTCTTTCTCTTTCACTGTGAATTACCTTACTCTAGGCCCAATTCTTGACTTTGTCTGACATACTATTTGACTGGAATCATATGGATAGCGAGTGAAGAAGGATGGATGCCACTTTCCAATGCCAAGTACCAGAGGAATATCATGAAACTTCACTTTCTCTTCCTCTCTCATGGTGTTCTCTCCATGTTTCCTCACCCTTGTGTAATTATCTTCCTTCCTTATTCCCTTGTGATCCTGTACTCTGATGCTGAAGCTGAGAAGTGCTACAGGCTTTAGGGAGTAGCAATGCCTACTATCATTCACAGCACCCAATGGAAAGAGTACACTGAGCACATGTGAGAGTTCCCAGTGTATCCTGCATTCTAGGTAAAGATGGTATCAAATGGACAAAACCCTGAAATGACACACTCAGTCTTACCTGTATATTTCTAGACCTTTAAGATTGTAATGTATAGAAGGCATTTTTGGGAAATAGTTAATGTTCTCTACATGAGAGCTGTTTCTGTGCTTGATTGCTTCTTGTACAGCAGACCTGCTAACATGATCACACTGCTAAGAAACAACTGGTTCATGAGAATATAACAGCTTCCACATGCCGGATCTATCAAAAAAGAACAAATTCCTCATTCACAGGTCAGGTGTATTTTTGATTTACAGAATACATATGATGGTTTTAGTTTCAGCCATGTTTCATGTGCGTGGCAGAGTCTGTCAGTATGCAGTTAATAGGAGAGACTGCCATTCTGTGAATTATTTATGTGCTGTCCAGTTTGTTTGCGTAAGTAGGGCAGACATATTTTTTGGTGTGAACGATCTGCACGTGTGAGAATGGGCAGAGCAGAGCAATTTAACTCTTCTTTGAGGTGGAGTTGTGGTTACCAAGTTATCATGGATCTCATTATGGCTGCGTGAAGAGGA